CATTGAAATGTTATGAACAGGACACTGACATGATAAAACCAGTATTTTAGCAAAATTAGTCTGGCAGCAGTGTACAGGATGGATTGAGGGGGAGGGACATTAGAGCCACCAAGGAACATCAGTTAAGTGGTGGGCGAATGACAGAGAAAAAGAGACTAGTGGGTAGGTTGGACAAGTCTTTTTTTTTTCTTTTTTTTAAATTTATTTAGAGCAAGGAAGCCAGGAAGCCTTCAGCCTCTCCCTCCTTACCTTTGCCTCTCAGAATCCCAAGTTTTCTTCAAGAATGTCTCCATTCATGTGTCACCTTCTAAAAGCTCCCTTCACCACCTCCACCCCTACCCTGTTGCTAGTGCTCTCCCTCCCCAAATTACCTTGCATTCATCTTGCACATGTAACCAGGTCCTCAAACCCATTGGGATAGGACTCTCTCCTCACTGGTGGAAATCAATGCCCTGCACCTGGATGAGGGGAGAGTTAGCAAGAGCTCTAGGTCTTAATGTCTCTTCAATCTTCTTGGGTCTCAGGGGCTTCTGTCTTCCAGCTTCAGGAACGAAGATGAATCATGTCAAACTCCACTTCAGGTTGCTGAAGGGAGAATAGATTCTGAAAAGAAGCTGATATGAAAGGAGCTGGCAGTCTCCACCATGTCCAGATTCCCAGCTTGCTACACTAGAGACTTCGGGGAGTTTCCCCTTGGGTGAGAACTAGACCTCTTCTCTTGGTTGAGCTGAGTTACCTTGATCCCGATGGGAGAGCGCCTTCACTTGGTATTGTCTGGTGTGTATCCTCCAGTGAATACCTTCTCTGGTTTCTGTTTTGCTATCGACTTGGAAAACTGGATTTCTCTGCTACTTGCTATTAATGTTTATTGTAGAAGTGGTATTTGGTGGGAAAGGAGTCAAGCTTTGAATATAAAACTGAGGGCCTCTTTTCCCCTTTAAGAAACAGTGATTGGAAGTTTATCTGGAATCCGAAAACCACATCCCCTAGACTAATAATACATAAGGGAACAGATAAATATATTTATAGTCTGGTATCCCTTCTCTCTAAGGAGAGCAGATCAGTCTCTGGCCCCAGACTCCTGCTTCCCCTCCTGTTAAGAATGAGAGTCTCCTTTGGAGAAAGGGGAGGGGGGGAGGGTGAAGAGGCTAGAGATGTCTATTCTGCCTCCCTTTGAGCTACACAGAACACCCCATGCTATGTGTGAGGGTAAAGTCCTCACTACATATATATTATGCATATATTTATGTACATGAATGTTGTCTCCCCCATCTGAATATAAATTCTCATTTTTATTTTAACTTTTTGCCTTCAGCTTTAGGGCAGTTCCTGGAATATAATAATTACTAAATAAATACTTGTTGATTGAATGATCTTTAAAGGTAAAGGGATAAAAGAGCTGGTAGAGAACGAAAGAATGAAGATGAGAGGGAAGTGATAATTAAAGAACCAAGGTCACTGAGGAAGTGGAAAGAGAGTTAGCCTTGAAAAGCAAAAGGAATGTCTCTACTTCTAAAATAGGGTTGAAGATTTAGGAGATAGAGGTAAGGAAAGAGACATTTTGAAGTGAGAATAACGGAAGATTGAGAGAGTTCTTGTTGGATGGCTTCCAATTTTGAAAGAAAGTAGGAGGTCAGATCACTTGCCAAGAGTTAGAGAGGATAGGGTTGGGGACTTGAAGAGGAGGAGGTTTGAAACAGCTGCTGTGGGGAGCACACTGTGGAACCAAGAAGTTAAAAATAATAATAGATGAATAAAAGGATTGCTAAGCAGCAGCAAAAGCTTGGCTGAAGTTAGACAACACAGATTTGTGATAGGCCAGATCTTCACTGTTTTGTCACTTTCTCCAACAAAACTTGCCCAGAAGAGGAGGTGGAAAAAAAGCTTAGATAGGAGTTGTCCAGGGTTGGGAATTAACATAGCCTGATTATATGAGATGGCTTTCTGGGAGGGGTAAGAGGGAGAGAATATAAGAGAAAATTTAGGTGATGTAAAAAACAAAAAGCCTCAATAAAAATTTATTTAAAAAAAAAACCAGCCTCAAATCTACCAAACACTTTCTAAAATTCTACTGACTGGGAATCAGTCAAAAGTTAAAGATCTATCTTTGATGGTTCCTGGCTGTGATTTACCTTAGGCAATTAACTTATACTCTCTGTGATTCAATTTTTTCATTTGTAATATGTGGATGATGATAATACTTGTATTACCTACCTCATGGAGTTGTGAAGAAACCACTTTGCAAATCTTAGAACAGTGAATAAATGTGCATTATTCTGTAAGACTTTTCAAGCTTAAGACTTCCATATTAAAATGCAAGAATGACACAGATCATTCTTATTATGACATGCAGCTAGAAAGACCTTCCACTAAAATCTCTCATCATGCCTTATTGGCATGCATAGAGGAGACATTGGCTTCTTAAATGCTCTGCCAGGGGAACAGTTTCTGGCAGATACTATTAAACTGGCAAGGCTTTTTGAGTGTGGCTTTCCGGCAGCGGACGGTACGTCTGTTGCTTCAGAACAAGCCCTAACTAATATTAAGGAGCTTATCAGTAAGCTGCCACACTAAGGTGATGAATTTTTCATCCAGAGCAACTGATGAAGACTATGTACTAAGTTTTAGAGGGGGTGCAGTCTGCTTGGGTGAAGGAAGCAAATACATTAATTGAATCATGGATCCTTGAAATAATATAGAAGAAGCTAGGCAGATGTTCCTTGGAGCTAATCTATCATGATATATCTTGGATAGCTAGCTATTGCAGATGGGTGGCAAGTTGGGCCCAGAAATTAATAAAACAAGGAGAGCTAGCTGGACTGCATTTGGAATATTCCACAGTGCTTTCACCTTCTGTGAGTTCAATTATCAATCATCTTTAGACAGGTGACTCCCAAATCTATATATCCAACCTTAATCATCTTCCTGAATTCAAGCCCAGTATTACCATTGCCTGATGGACATCTTTACCTGGATGAATGCCCTACAGGCATTTCAAACTCAAGCTGTCCAAAATGGAACTCAATACTCCTTGAATACATCCATGGCACTACCATCCTTCCAGTCATGCAGGTTGTCCTGGATTCTCTCTTCTCCTGCAGCCCCTGTAACTAATCAGTTGACAGGTTTCTTGTCCCCACGGTTCTGCCCCCACAACATCTCTTGTATATGTCTCCTTTTCTCCGCTCATCGTCTCTTGCCTGGAGTGTTACAATACCTTACTACTAAATTTCTTTGCCTACAGTCTCTTCCATCTTGAATCTAGCCTCAACGAAGCAATCAAAATGATATTCCTAGAATGCTGTCCTGGTTATGTCACTCTTCCCTTCTCCACTTAAAAATCTTCCATGGTTCCCTATTACCTCTAGATAAAACAAAACAAAACAAAACAAAATTCTTAGCTTTGCATTTAAAGCCCTTCACTATCTGGGTCTCTTTAATCTTTCTAGTCGTATTTCATGTCACTCTCCTTCTCCAACTCTCAATTCTAGTACAAATACATGTGAAATATCATTCCCTCCTCACTTCTGCCTCTTAGAATTTCTACCTTCCTTCAAATAAGCTCAGGTCCTTCAGAAGGTTTTCCCCAGTCCCTCCAATTATAAGAACTCCTTGAAATTGCTTTGTAAAGCTACATATTCTTTACATTTACTTACCTGTATATATGCTGTTAACCTCTCAGTATAATGCAGGGAATATTTTCTTTTTGTTTATGTATCTTCAGGGCCTAGCAACAGGTCTTGCACCCAGTACGCACTTAAGTGTCTGTTGAATTAACTGAATGATCTTAAACTCTTTGCTGCTACAAAAGCATATTCCTTTAACACCAGTATTCTACTTGTGATAGTATATGCTACCAAACAAGAAACACTCATTATCTAGGAACAATCAACATTGAAGATCAAGTCAAGTTGACAAGGAAGGGCAATGAAAAGGTGCAGGGTGGTTGTAGTTAGGGTGCAGCATATTTCCAATGAATACTTGTTCAGAAGTGCCTTAAAAGCCAACATCAAGGAAAGGTATGATTAGGAAAGAAAGCAGCCTGAACATGTAGCAAGAATGAGGGCTCACAGATGGACTGCCTATGGGCTGCATTGATGTCCACAATATATTAAAAGAACCTAGAGAAGGCTGCTAGCACATAATATATATAGAAACAGTGAGGTGGTGCAGTGGATAGAGTACTGGACTTGGAGTCAGAAAGACCTGAGTTTAAATCTAGCCTCCCTTTAGGCTATGTGACCCTGGACCAGTTACCTTAGGTTCGTTATCTGTAAAACGGGGATAGTAGCTGATAAAATGAGATAATATTTGTAAAGGGCTTTGCAAACTTTAAAGTGCTATAGAAATTCTAGCTATTATTATTATTTTCTATGGAAGATTTACAAGATGGACATGGATAAGAATGAGGTGCAGAAAGGCTACAAGTCAAGGATTACCCATATTCATGGAGATCATGCATATACCCAAGCATGTAATTGTCAAAATGGAAATCACCTGGGTAACAATAATAATCAGCCAGTACTGAAGACGGGGTGGGACAGCCACAGGAGAATGGAGGGAAATAGGAAGGTCAGCAGGTCCAGAGACAGCAATGGCATAGTGAAAGGATTCTGAATTTGGAGTTAGTGTTGACTTGGGTAAGTCTTATCACCTGTATAGGCCTCAGTTTCCTCATCTCCATGTGGATGCTGGACCTCTCTCAGGTTTTTTCCAGTTGACATTTTGATATGTAAGAATTAGAATTGGGAACTCAGAAGTTATTTATGCATTCAACACTTTCATATAATAGAAAAGGGAACAATAGAATGTAAGCTCTTTGAGGGTAAGACCGGGTTATTATTTTCGTTTTGTTTTCAAATTTCCAGCACTGTGTTAGTCCCTGGCACGTAGTAAACGCCGTACACACTCCACACATATCTGTTGAATTGAATTGGGGCCCAGGGAATTAAATTGGGACCCTTGCTCTGGGGGTCAGGGTTCAAATTGACATATCCTACCTCCACATAGGTCGGGCTTTTTCATAGTTTTTGTCCAAGTTTCTGGGGCGGCGGTTCAGTCCGTGTACTACAAAGTCCCCTCCATTGCCATCAGTTTACACTACTGTAGGAACTGCCCGGAATTAATGGGGTTTAAACTGCAGGAGAAGCCCGTTCATCACAAAAGCTGAGCAGTCCTTAGGTAATGCCTCTTAAAGCCAGTAGAGAACTGAGCGCGAGGACGTAAGCCCCGCCCCCTCCTGACCTGACACTGCTTAGCCTCTCCTTGGAGAGGGGGAGAGGTGAGAAAAGGGAATAGGGCGGGGCCGAAGGAGAAGGGCGGGGCGAGACGTATAGGCGTGGCCACAGCGATGGGCAGGTCCCGGTGATGAAAGCGGCAGTGCGCAACCCGCGCTCCTCCCATCCTCCTTCGGGCTCGCGCTTTGCGCCGCTCTGATTGGCTAAGGGTCACTGCGGCGACAGTGGAAGACGGACGGGGTTTGGGGACCTTGCCCGCCTTTCCCCCGCGTGGCTTCCGCCGGCTTCGGGGCCCCACCCCGTCCGTCAGTGCGCGCGCGGGAAGGGGCGGGGCGGGGCGGAGCGGGCGCGGTGGTAAGATCGCACCCGCCCCTCTCTCGGAGCCGCGCCCCTGGGGGGGGCACAGGGTGGGGGCGGTGCGAAGGTGGGCCGGGGTTTCGGCGGCGGCGGCGGCGCGCTCGCTCCCCGGAGGAGCGCGCGCGCGCCCAGGGCGGCGGGGAGAGAAGCAAGCCGGGCCGGAGCCGAGCCGGGTGTGTGTGGGGGTGCGTGTGGTGTGTGGCGTGAGCGGGAGCGTGTGTGAGGGAGAGCGGGCGGCGGGAAGCGAGTGCGAGGGGCCGAGTCGAGCCGAGCCGCCGCGATGAACACGGTTCTGTCGCGGGCGAACTCTCTGTTCGCGTTTTCGCTGAGCGTGATGGCGGCGCTGACCTTCGGCTGCTTCATCACCACCGCCTTCAAAGACAGAAGCGTCCCGGTCCGGCTGCACGTCTCCCGAATCATGCTGTGAGTGCGGGACGGGGCGGGGGTGCGGGGGTGCGGGTGTGCGGGTGTGTGTGTGTGTGTGTGTGTGTGTGTGTGTGTGTGTGTGTGTGTG